CCGTCTCTTACGTAGTCGTGGCACCAAGCAATACCTCATTAGGGTGGTATTTGACGAGCCGTATTAATCCGATGTAAATTTGGCGCCATGACGAGCCAAACATGACAATTAGGTCAAACAAATGCGGGTTCCGTGTGGAGGCCGCGGCCATTATGAGTCTCCAAACAGGGCAAACACTCGACACAAATCACACCCACACTTTCGGTAATTACAGAGCGAATCCAGGAGCGACATAACGAGGGTGCTCCCGCTGGCCTGGTACCCCCCCGGTGGTACAATAATTGGTAGCAAGAGCGGTACCCTCCGCTACCCTGCCGATTTCAGCACTGTACCAGATGGTATTGCCATTAGACAGTCAATTGTTTTTGCGCTAAATTGGTTTTAATTGCAGTTTTATCTCAATTTGGTCAACGATAAACATACGGCGGTATGCTTACATCCTGTGCCAATTAGATAATTATTTTTTTATCTTCTTTATTTAATTAAAAAAGAAAGGAGAAGAAAGATACATAAACAAGAATTCCCGGGAAGATCCGCGCTCTCCCCGCCGATCAGCTGGTGGCGGGCGGCAGTGCTGCCAACCACATCACAAGCTACTCATTTACAACGCTATTATTACTCATACATGGAATAATATATAAACCAACAAACTAACAACTGTTTTGAAAATAAAAGATAACACAAGGAAGTAACGTTACTCAAACAAAAGCAGTGAAAAGAAACGAAATCAACATCAGTAACTCTGGCTCGTACAACTTAACAAGGCATCGTGGATTTTTACATTGACTCCTATTCCTACCTGTTGGTGTTGTTTTTTTTAAAGGGTGTTGGGTCGTTATTTTTTACGGTGGTGCAGATGTAGTAACAGAGCGTGGAGACCAGAGAGGCTATGAGGAATGTTAAGCGCCAAGCCACTGAGATGACGCGGAAAATTGTTAACCCTTTTTAAACACCCGCGAGAGAGTCCATTTCATCACCTGAATAAGCTCTAAACTACCACCCATTTCTTACCTATTTAATAACCTAACTTTTCCCTGATTTCCCCTACATTAGGTAAAAGTTTACTTCAAGTCTCAAAGTGGAAATTGAAGTTTATTTATACTTAATAGTTACAGAGAATAATAGGCTAACATGTCACAGAAAATTTTAAAATAATGTCTCAAAATCTTAACTAATGTGAAGCCGATTTTTTTTCGGGGTCTTTTCTTATAACCTGGGATCTTGTCGTGGCTATCTCTTGTCTCCCTGAATCCTGTTTCTGCCATAATAATAATAATAATAATAATAATAATTAATTTTCTTTTAATTTCTACGTATTATAACTACAGCACCACTTATACATGTTAAATACTTACACACACACACACACACACACACACACACACACACACACACACACACCATTTACAATTCACTTAGAAAGTAGACCAGAAAAACTCACTAACACAAGAGGCTTTGCGTTACCTAAGCGCCTCACTGCCTTGCCCGCCGTCACTACGATAACTTTACACTAAATAAACAAATTCAGAGTTGACTTACCACTTACACGACACACTACACCATGAACTAGTTTTAATACTTAGGGCCAGCCAGCCAGTCTCAGCTTAAATCATTGATTCTATCTTTAGCGTTAAGTCTTACAATGACTTTTATTATTCTACCTTGAAGTCTAATTTGTATTCTATTGTCTATTGAAATTGTAGAGATAATTTGATTTATTTTTTTATATATTGTATTTGTATTTATATATTTATTTCTCTATACTTTGTTTATTTTTATTATCATATACGTAACCTGATTTCTCAATATTAATTTCTTACTATCAGACAATTAACATCAAACATTCCTACCATTAATCATGACTCATTCTTCACTACACAACTCAGAGTAACATTCTATAGTCATACATAATTCATATAAACTCTCTAAGTGCTCTTCCTAAAACTGCCTGATGTAATACCAAATAATGTAGATCTCTGACCTAAGTGGAATTTCCTTATTAACACGCCCAACAGGTGAGGTTATGAGGGCAGGTGAATGTTTACCTGGAGTCGAGCTGAATTGATCTGATGTTTAATTGATAGATGTTATTGTATTAGTGACTGTCATAATAACCTATATGGAGAAATGTTATTGATATGGGAGGACTATTACAGGTGTAGATTGAGTTGTTTACACAGGAATGTCGGGGTATTTTTTCCAGGTGTGTGACGTTGGTAAATGTGGTTGATTTTGAGTATACAGTATGTTGAGAAGGAGTTGATGATGTAGACGACACATACATACTTATAAACATACATACATAATGGTTGCCCCTCGTGTGTAACGAGGATGGCCGGCTCTAGGGCCACCTAGGTGTGAATTTGTTTAATGTGTAGAAGCTGTCGTCAACACAACAACCACACCCTAAGTTAACGAGCTGCATGATCCAGTGTTGAGGAATAGTCCGAGAAGACCGGACAACTCGCCAACTGCACTGGCTAACTATTACCCTGGAATACGATCCGCAAATCGATTAACATCCAGGTTACCAATTACTGCTGGTAGACAGAAGCAAATGGAGTAAAGAAACTTGCCCATACATACATACATACACACAACACCCCACTCCTACTGTACACACTCCACGGCACACTTAAGAACAATAGGAGGCAGGAAAATAGCAGCAGAGGAGATAAGATAAGAGCCCCGCGGAGAATGTGGCATCCCTGCTCCTCAGACTCACACGAGGAGTATCAACAGGTATCGGGCGGGAGGAGCGATGGTATCACCTGGTTCTAACCTACACAGGTGGGCCACACGACACCCTGATTACTCCCGCCTCTCCCACCTGCTCACTCGTCCGGAAAAAAACACACTCGTCTTTTTTTTTTTTTGGGTGGGGATGGGTTTCAGTTTAGCTTAATTACGTTTTAAATATCGATTTTTTTTTCGTGTGTAGAATAACTTTTGTTTTTTAATATCGTTTTAAATGCTGACGTTGTTAATGTTTGTGTACAGTAACGACGTAATAGTAATGTACACTCTGATTTATGTACTAACGAGAGATATATTACGAATGGCAATGTAATTTTTTTTTATGAATGATGCACTAATATCGAAGGCTCTGATTTTCAATATATAAACGAATAATGTACAAATAACAACGAAAATGTCATTATTTACGCGTGATGAAGAAAATTATATGACACTAAACATAGCTGCTGTGTGTGTGTGTGTGTGTGTGTGTGTGTGTGTGTGTGTGTGTGTGTGTGTCATTATGCATATGAGGGAAATTGGTCGTATTCCCTCGGTCTGCCTCCTTCTGCCTTCCTCTCTCGGTTAAGAGTAGGGTAAGTAAGGTTAAATTAGGTAGGTTAAATTAATTTAGTTTGAGTGAAGTTAACAATGAATTTGGTTGTTAAATTTGGTTAGGAGTAATTTAGTTTGATTAGGTTAAGCTACTTTAGAAATGGCGTAGTATATTTAAAAGTAATTAGGTTAAATTTGGTTATCCGTAGGTTAATATAGGTTGAAGTTAACAGTAGGTTAGTCTAAGTTAAATCAGATAAAATTTACAATACAACTTCGCGTTATGGGGATTTTTTTTTACCAAGTTCTTTTTCATTATAATTTACAGTATTTTTCGTCGCATTAATTCTCCTGTTTGGTAATGTGTTTGGATCTTTATTACCTGTTAATTGTCTCCAGATTTATTCACCTATTGTTCTTACCTGAATTATCATCTTTATTTTTGTTGCACGAAAATACCTGTACTGGGTTGAGACTCCGTGGGTGATAAGACAAATGTTATATAGTACGTGGACTGTATTGTGGTGTTTCAAACTGATACGCTTACTCTATCCGTTCATATAAGCTTACTAATCAATGTAACCAATGAGCTTAGAGCAATTTTATTAATGCATCTGATTGGCTGAAGGAATGAAGTGCGTTGGGTTAATCTAAAATTCTTTATTATTTATTTTCTTTATATTCTGCAATGATTATGATCCTAGAATGATATCCGAGGCCGGGAAAGTAAAAATATTATCATGTGAAATAGATTGATGACGTAGATATCTTAAGTGAAAAAGATTTAAAAATATTCACTGGTGTTGTTATTTCGTCACCTCCCGCGTACCTGTATATCCACCTGACTTAACTCGACCAATCACGAGCTACTTTTAATTTGGACCAGTTGCAAGGTTAGAGTCAAACTTAAACTTACTTAATTAACCAATAAGCTTTTTAGTTACACCTTACGAAACTTAAAACTGGTCAAAATTAAGCTTACCTTCTTTGACTTAATCTATTCTAACTTATCCTAATTTATCGTAACCTGACTCTACATTTAACCTAGGTAAGTCGACCCTAACTTAACCTAACTAATCTTATCATAACATATTTCTGTCTTACGTAAATTACCTTAACTTAGCGTATCAGACACACCTTACCTAACTTTCCTTAACCTGACAGCTTCACAGTCACTAACAGCCGTCAACACCATGAATGATATACTGACAGCTTCACAGTCACTAACAGCCGTCAACACCATGAATGATATACTGACAGCTTCAGTCACTAACAGCCGTCAACACCATGAATGATACACTGACAGCTTCACAGTCACTAACAGCCGTCAGCACCATGAATGATATACTGACAGCTTCACAGTCACTAACAGCCGTCAACACCATGAATGATATACTGACAGCTTCACAGACATGTCGTTATGAACACAGGAATAAAGAATGTATGTGTGTGAATGTTTAAGTTTTCTGTTATAAACACTGGTGGATTGTTCTGTATGTTCATATATCTATTCAGTGTTAAACATCAAGGCTTTTCATGGTTCTTATTTAAATTTTATAGTCATGATGAACATTGTATAAATATATAATTAAAATCGTTCTATATTAGTTCACCTGCAGGTTTTAGTGCAGGTAAAAATTTCACTATTATTTAAAAGAAAACCTTTGATATTATGTCAACTAACTTCTTCATGTTTTTCTCCCCGCCAGGATGAACCAGCTGTGTAAGGTGTGTGGGGAGCCGGCCGCCGGCTTCCACTTCGGCGCCTTCACCTGTGAGGGCTGCAAGGTGAGTCCCGCCTCCTTAGCTAATTTATGTTAAGATTTTTAGGGATTACATTCCTGTGTATGAAGCCGAGAGAAATAGTTCATGTCTGATACAATGTGAAGTAACCACAGATATTGTCTTTGGTGATGAAGCTCCTTTCAATATTCAATAATTAAGTACAACTCCCAATAACATTTCACATCATAGCCACACTAACCACACCTTGTCTACTTCTCCACACCTCAGCCACACTAACCACGCCTTGTCTCCTCCACACCATAGTCACACTAACCACACCTTGTTTCCTCCAACAGTCGTTCTTCGGGCGGACGTACAACAACTTGTCGCAGGTGCACGAGTGTAAGAACGGCGGCCAGTGTGTCATCAACAAGCAGAACAGAACGTCGTGTAAGGCCTGCAGGCTCCGCAAGTGTCTTATGGTCGGCATGTCCAAGAGCGGCTCAAGGTTAGGAGTGAGAAACTGCCGCTTGTTCTACCCGACAGGCATAAACGGTGGCATTAGAGCGAGACAACCACCTTTGTACCCTCCGAGAGACAATAACCCTGATATAGTGTAGGTAGATGATTCCTGAGCTAGAAAGGCGGAGTCTAGGAGGTGTGCAGTATGTTAGGTCTATGACTCCCTGGTCCATGATTTTCATAATGAAGTCAGTCACACCCCAGGGAAAAACACACACATTAAGATAGTGTCAACAACCTGATGATCATACTCTTATGTGACTCTTTCTCCCCGTGCAGGTACGGACGAAGGTCCAACTGGTTCAAGATCCACTGTCTGCTGCAGGAACAAGCGTCGCAGCTCCAAGGAATGGATGGCGGGGGAGGGTGTGGGGGAGGGGCGTTCCCTGGGGCAATGGCGGGGTCTCTCTCCCTCTCCCCGGCCTCCATGCCCGCCCTCTCCCCGTCCAAGTCTGAGGACGAGGCTAAGGTGGAGTCGCCGGTGTTGTCGTCCCCTGAGAGTTGCCTGTCGGAGACCAGCATCGACGTGGAGCCTCGCAGGACCTCATCACCCAAAGAGATGAGTACGGTTGAGGGTATGGTGCGGGGCGACCGGTACAGCGAGGGTGGGCGTGGTGAGGGCGGGAGGCGGGAGATAATGGGCGCGGCGGGACTGTCGCTGTATGGCATCCCTGGCCTCTCCCTCCTGCACGCCTCCCACCTCTACTCCCGCCTCTACCCTCCCATGCTGTACCCCGGCCTGGCTCCCTCCCTTCTGATGCCTCCCCGCGCCCTCCCACCCCCTAGCCCGCCGAAGGAGCTCACCCTCAGCAGCCCCCGCTCCTTCAGCCCCGGCAGGCACAGTCCCCGCCCCACGAGCTCCCCCGGGCGGATCCCACACGACTACCCGTCGCCACTGCCCCCACCTCTCGCCCTGCCCCTCGGTTTCCCTTACTCCTCCAGGAAGCGCCTGGCAGACTCCCCCATCGAGGAGATGAGGACTTCGAGCCTCAGCCCCAGGGCGTGGGAGGCCGCCCCCGCGCCCGAGCAGGACGCACCCATCGACCTCAGCATCAAGCGCCAGCGCCTCCTGCCGCCTCCTCCGTCCCCCGCTACGCCCGTGTCCCCACCCGTGTCGCCCGTACACACGCCCGTGCCCACCTCAACGGCCCCGGTGGACCTCACCACCAAGGCGTGAGGCCTGTGATACCGTCACTATGGTACAAACAGTCGCCCCTCCTCCCTCAGGGTGTGTGGCCACAGTCCCACCCTTTGTCCTCCACTCTCCTCATCTTGCTAATTAATTAACATCTACGTTTGTGTGGCGCTCGTTACACCTTATTGCTGCTGCCCTACACGTGGGTCACAGCCGGACTACACGTGCGCCACAGCCGGGTTACATGTAGGCCACTGCCGGGCTACACGTGGGCCACAGTCGGGTTACACTTAGGCCACCAACCTTCCTCGCAGAAACTAAGGCAGTGGAGGCGGAGTCCGCGGGTGGCGACATCTGCAGCGCCTTGGCCACATATCAGGAACAAGAGCCAAGACCCGGACGGACGGACAGACGGACGGACGCTGGGTCAGGCACCTCCACCTGTTGAGTGATACTTGATAACAGTGCAAATCTCAGACTACAGATGGTTTATCGTGGGTTTAGAGTGAGTCGCCTAGTACTGGGTCAGCTAGTCCTGGGTCACCTAGTCCTGGGTCACCTAGTCCTGGGTCACCTAGTACTGGGTCACCTAGTCCTGGGTCACCTAGTCCTGGGTCACCTAGTCCTACTCTAAACCTAACAACAAAAAGGTGAATTCTGGTGTAGTGATGAACGTGATTGGATGATAAACAATTGACTGTCATACATATATTAACTGAAGGTCACAAGTGATAAAAAAAATAAGTATTACAAACATGACGATTTCAGTGGTGATTTTTTTTTTATGTACCTATTTAGTGCAATTGAATCCCTGACTACATACAATACATTCCAAATGAGTATTAAGTTGATCCAAGTGATTATTATTATTATTATTATTAGTCTATTAATAAATAACCAGAATTCGCCTCATCGAAGAGTATAATTAATACAGATTTACTTTATCCAGATGGAAAATAAATAAATAAATAAGAATTTATTATAAGGCTTCACTGGAATTCGATCTTTTCGAATTCTCAAGTGTAGCGAGTCAGTGTTTTTTTTTTAATTATTTTTCTCCGAGAGTTTAATATATTCCAGAAGGTTCTTGCAGGCCTTATTATCTTAAAACCAATTCCTCCTCAATAATGTTCACCTTCCTAGGTAGTGGATGGTGAGCCTTATAGTCGAGGAGCTCCAGTTGGTTGTGTATAGAGTATATATGTCATTTTTTAATAAGTCTCCCTTCCTTCCCTCAGATAGTGTACTAGTTGCATAGTTCCCGAGTGACTATTACTATTTTTTTTGTGTTTGACGTAGAGAATTGTTTACTTATTTATGTGTGTGTAAATGTGTTGGTGTATATAAAGCCTTGTACATACTGCGAAGGCCAGTTATTGAGATGCTGCTTGTGTCCTAATAAAAAAAATATTAAGGCATTTTGTTGGGGTTTTATTCATCTTTACCTGTGAGTATTATAAGACAATTACCTGGATTTTCCCTATTCTTACCTCTCGATACATCTTTGAGAACGACTCCGAGTTTTACCTGGAGTTAGCACACCTGAGTGACCGTCCTAATTAAGGAAATGAAAGCATGGTATATCTATCTATCACATAACTACCCGGGATTATATTTTAGTCAGTAAATTAATAGTAACGCTGTAGACAAACTCAGGCGTGAAAGTCTACGGCATACACCCACCAGCTTAGAACCAGGAAAATTTTGGAGATCACCTGGGCCCCAGACCTAAAGGACCCCGACACGATTAGGGATCAGGGGCCCATTAAGACTAGTAGCCAATAAGGCAAATATAGGATATTATTCACCAAGATTCCCAAATATGATGACACGAGGTACTGTATTTATACATATATATATATATATATATATATATATATATATATATATATATATATATATATATATATATATATATATATATATATATATACAGTATATATGCAAGTAAATCACTGTAGGTGCGCGTGATCCAGAAACACCTGTTGTGCTTCGCTTGATATGACTGGTGTATTAACAGTGAAATATCCTACAGTGCCTACACAATTCTTCTCACCGTAATAGTGGTAAAACGACACTAGAAAAATTATAAGAGTCTGGCAGAGATTTTTAGACCTATATGGACATTTTCATAAGTATTAGACACATAAATATACCGAGAGTCAGATATATGGTGTGTCATATATTCTAAGATCATAATTTCACAATATAATTATTCCTTGTTGTATCTATATCGTTATATATCTTGTTCTGTTCACAGTAGATATTGGAATGATCAGAGTAAAGATAGGAAGTGCATAATATAGCCAATTTTTACTGTAAGTAGAACAAGGTATATATAATGTAGGTATAACAAGGAATTACTATAGCGTTAATTATTAGAGGTGCACAGGGACTTCTCGATCACCGTGTATAATGAAGTCAACACCTCAAACTGTTGACTGTAAAGGAGGGGAGAGTGGCGCATCCCAAGGCTTCAGCTCCAGGCTCTACGTTGCGTAACACTGCCAATGGGAATCAAATCTGACACATATATATGCGGATACCACCCACCGAGTTCTTGTTTATGGGGAAACTAGAATCTTGTGATTGGTCTATTATCATGATGAATTTTAAAGTTGGTTCTCATTGGTTCATAACCATGACGTAAATTGCCAGGCCGAATAAGAATTTCTCATTAGTTGCGATAAACTGTACTTGAAAAAAAAAAATTACACTAGGAAAAAATCCATCACTCAGATCGTTAAAGGCGAAAATTAAAGTCATTTATAAAATGGGAATGAAAATATTAGGTAATTATTTCTGTAGAAATTATTGGCGTATTAATAAACTGATCATCTTACCTACACCATTAGGACACAGGTGGTATAATGTGCTAATTAATATGTTATTTTAGGGGTTAACCACCTATGTGTGTGGGGGATAGTTCAGGGCTTCAGAGTCGACATGATATTAATTACGGGAACGGATGGACACACACACACACACACACACACACACACACACACACACACACACATATTAATGATGCCCTCAGAGAAACTCCCGCTCGGTGGAAATATGTCGACGACTCCACCAATGGGATCAGTGTGAACAACTCGGCTCCCAACTACTCTGCCCTCCAGAATATAATGAACAGTTTCCAAAATTGGGTCACCAACAACCATGTTACTATCAACTATACCAAGACCTTGTCCCACCTCTCACCATTATTCTGGGCCCCATCACACTCCAGGTTATGGACTCCACTAAGCTCCTCGGCGTCACTGTAGATAACAAACTAAATTGGAAAGTACAAGTCGGATCAATTGTCAAATCTTCCAGTTTTCGTCTCCACCTCCTTCAGAGTTCCCTCGCCCTCCCTCCTCAGTGTTTACTCAACGTTTATATTTCCCAAGCTCACCTGTCCCTCCCCTGCCTGGTCATCCTCCCTAAACGCCCTCAACGAAAATACCTGGAAAAAGTGCAGAAAAGGGCGTGAAAGATTATTTTCTCCCCCTCCTACTCCACATATCAAGAATCGCTCAACAGCCTGACTCTCTCGGTTATCTCTGATCATCACCACGACCTCATCTGCAAATTTGGGGAGAAGCTTCTGAGCCATCCTCGACACCGTCTCCTGCTTCCACCCAAGATCCCTCGTCCGCGAATTGCTGTTCGTCATTGCAGCTGCATCCAGCCCATATGATCATCATCTCAACCATTGTAAACATTATCAACCACTCGTAGTTAACCAGAATGTTCATTTCCTGTCAATATAACTTTTGCACTGTTAATAAGCTGGAATTCCTGTTGAACGACCCTCTCTCCTCCCCTTGTTGTTATATAGTTGTATCACTTATGTTACTTGTATATTATTTGTCAATCAAGTGAAACATCCCCGTCTCTGTTGACTATATTTTTAGCCTTTTGTGCTGCCATGTTCTTTCAATAAACTGGTAATTATTATTATTTGTATTATCATTATTACACACACACACACACACACACACACACACACACACACACACACACACACACACACACACACACACACACCCACAACAAAAACAGTATCACGTGACAGTCTTGACCTTACACCTTTGTCGTAACTTAACATAATAATAACTGAGGGCAGATGTGACTCACCCACACGACGCTCCTTGTGTACATCTTGAGGATAACTGAAATAAGAAAAGACGAATGAGTTTCTTACTAATTGAATAAAGTAAATAAAATGGATGAATAAGGACCAAACCAATACATAAGTAAATGAGGAATAGAAGAGAATAGATAATGGAATAGTTTAACAAAGGGAAGAATAAAACAATTATATACGTATAAATTTCATGTAAATGGGAAAAATAAATAATATTACACAAAAATACAGAATCAATACATAAATAAAATATACTGAAGGGAAGAAAAATAATGAAATAAATACTACCATATCTGTTTACATTATTCATTCCCTTATATCCCGACATTGTAAACAACACTGCATTATTTACCACCACCACTAGTCACGGGTTATGTATTGGCGTTACCTTCAACACTCTCACCAATGTAATTAACAAACAAAAAGGCTGATAGTAGACGATATATGATGTCTACCTTAATGATATATTGTATACTAAATGATATATGAGTCAGTATTTAAGATATACAGGTGATATATCATGGTAGGGTATAATGTTTATGAATCGGTAAGAGATGATGTAGTGATGTTATACCCAGGTCGTCAGGAGGTCACTATATAAGGTAACATTTCTTGTCTTAAGATGTATTAATACCTTAGTTATGTTCTTCAGTGTAAAAAATATGGTATATTTTATTTGTTTACTGTGAAATAAACTAAATTCTTAAAAAAAATAAAAATATATTACTTACCCCCCCAAATTGCTGCTTAAACTAAAAAAGAATAATATTAAGAAATTAAAATTGTAAATAACATATTTTTTACGAATAGAAGAACTGATATGTGAACAAAGTAAATGCCACGCGTAACAAAAGGATATACCATTATAAATTTTTACTTATTATATTATTTAGAGTTTTTAATGAACATATATTTACAGCTACTATATTGTAAATCTTTCTTCTGAGAACTGAGATGTAAATATAGACTATAATGAATCTTAATATACCGTAAATGTATATACTTACACTCGCTAAACACAAAATATATAGAAAAAATAAAATATAATGATCCTATGAAACTCCTGGATTGAGTGAGAAAAAACTAATTTCAAAAGTATTAATATTTTTTTTTATAAATTTTGATCTTTAGTTGATTTTTCTGTTATATAACGCGATTTTTTTTTCATTTAATTTCTAGTTATAAAATTTATAAAGTATCAACAAACTTGCAAACATTATCTATATTTCATTCCGGTAATGAATGAATCTTCCCATAACACACGTGACTCTTGGCAACTCTCTGAACTAATATCTACAGTCTAAAACTCTAATTACATACAGTAACCACAACTACCACCCCCTTCCCCTCCTCGCAACCACAATTACCACACCCTTTCATCACAAAACCCTCTGGCACTAACTACTAACACACACACGACCACAACTACCATCATCCATGACCACAAAACGACAGCTTTAACATCAAGTACAGGTGATAGAGCCACCCACCCATTTCACTATACTTGCTATAACAAACCACACCTGTTGATACTCATTATAATCACTATAATTTTTCATCATTACCTGGAACTTCCTTATTTTCACTGCCACCACCACCACCATTACCACCATCGTCGTCATCCTCACTATCATCACTCTCACTATCTATCGTCATCTTAACCACTCACCCACCAACACTATCATTACCATCATCATAAGCACCATTACCATCATCAACACCAACACCATCACCACTACCATCACCACCATCGCCACAGTCATAACCCCGTCCTATAGGGTGGTGGCGGATGACCAAGGCTAATATGTACCATTATATGTACAGGTGTTGACCAGAGGGAGGAAACTACAGGTGTGTGAGGTGCTCGAGGCGTAAGTATACTCCTCCCCTTTGCCTCACCTCCACTCCACTCCCCCTCCCCTTTGCCTCACCTCCACTCCCCCTTCCCTCTGCCTCACCTCCTTCTGCCTCACCTCCACCCCACCCTCCTACTCTGCCTCACCTCCACCCCACCCTCCTACTCTCCCTCACCTCCCACCCCCTGACCTATCATATACAGTATGTAGTCTTGTTACTCCTGTTCCACAATAAGATCATCATCATCATCATCATCATCATTCTGAATATTTGAAATTACTTTACCATTAATTTTCATTCCTTCATCCCAATACCTACAACTCTCAATGGCAATTTTGGATACTATTTGTTAAACAGTATTGGAGGTCACACACAACCTAACCTAACCTAATCTTACTCCGTCTCATTTTAAACCAACAAAAAA